GGAGGTGGTTTCTTACTCCTCAGAATCTCCTGATTAGCGTCCTTACTTCCGGTTGTAGTTTATTGTCATACCCAGGACGACGAGTCCTATAGTAAAACATTTGGAATGTATTTCTAGAGCAGATGATTTATAGTGTATTTCTATAGTAAAATATTTGTAATGTAAATTATAGGAAAAAAAATAAATGTGTTTTGTTAGTAATTCATTTGTATTACGTTTCTTTATATTTTTTTCTTCTGTTTTTTTGTGACTGGTTCGCTTTCTTGTGTGCGTAAAAATATTATTTCTGTTTCAAATAACTCGTCTTAAAAAATCGTGAAATTTACTTAGTAAACTACATGCCATATTATTTGTGATGAATTACCTTTCAGAATTAATACGGACAAGTTCCAGTTCCCGCTGTGTCCATTATATACACTGACACGCAAATATCCTTGGGGAAGATATGAATCCACCACTTCTCCCACTATCTATGGGTTAATTAGTAAGACTTGTATTACTAAAGCATTATTATAAAAAAAAAATCTCCCAAACTAAAATATTTTCTGGCGTTAAATAACCTGCAAAGGGTTGATAAACAATAAAAAAAACGAATCAGTGAAATCATATATTACATGATTTATGGGAGTTTTATATTAAATTTTAACTCTATGTATACACAGGGACATCGAAACAAATTACGCTTGAATTGAATTTTAAGCGATGGTTTAGAAACAGAACAACTTTATTTGAAAAGTGTAGTAAACCGCTATGAAATACCAATCCTCCTATCTAGCAGTGTATGCTGTACTATCTACCCACAGATGAAGAAATGGTTACGACTTAAAAAAAAAAAACTTAAGGTTAGATAAGCCGTAAAAATGAACCAATCAATCAAACATATACATGATCCGCCATGCCTGATTCACGTGCTTTCTCGAGAGTATGCACCTGGGATATGAATAAAGGCCTCTATTCAAAGTTTACTGAGTACGATTACACATTAGCAGTGATTGCAATTCTTACTGGGCGCCACATACTTATAATAACGTGCAATCATTAAAAAATATATTTCAAAGGAATTAATCTTTTAATTCGATAGTATTTATTATTACTCTAAACGTTATCTTTACTGGATGCACTTGTTTAGGTAGACGCCCTGTTTTTTAAGCATTGTTAAGCAGCGTTGAGGCTGATCAGTACATAGATGGGGGACTGTTTGGGAATGAAAGGTGCTGTAATTTTGTATGTGCGAGTGGTGTAATGGATAATGAAACGTAACTTTTAATCAAAGAACCGTGTTTCAATTCCCGTTAGGATCGTTATAATCACTCACGCGCAAATTCCAGGGGGAAAGGCATGAATCCACCGCTTCTCACTGAACGTATGGGTTAAGATTTGTCTCACTAAAACATTATTATCTCAAAAAAATATTATAAACATCATGAGAGTAGAATCCCTCATATCCGGAATCCCTCAGATCCGGTGTGTCTCATATCCGGAATCCCGCATATCCGAACATGATTTTGATGTGTATATTTGAAGTATTTGGGAAATTTACTCTGGATAATTGCTTATGTTTATTTCACCTTAAAGACATGTATTCAACATAGGATAATCAACATTGTATTTTATAAAATCTTGCAAATAAACTATTCTCACGCATTTGCACTGTCACAATGAACACGGAAACAAGAAACATGATTATGATGAAACCTGGACTGAAATTGAAAAATCTATTGAAAATATCAGTTTTATGGAAAGAAAGCCAGCATTCAGCTATGACGATTGAAATAACGCGCACAGAGTTAAAAAGTGTCTTTGGTTTAAAAAGAAATTAAGAACAAAAACAAAACGAAATGAGGAAAAAGTTGAGAATGACATTAAAAGAGAAAGAATCATCATGCAACAGCGATTAAAAAAAATCCTAGTTGCATTAACTGTTTTGCATACGTGGAAAATTCAAATTGATGAATTTTCGTTAACTTTACATAATTTATTTCTTTTTCCTTAAAATCAATACCGTTATATTTCACTCACCATTAACATATTTTCTTTACTATAAAACACAGAAATTAAATGTTAAAACTGATCTCAGATCTTTTATCATAAATCTAAATATAACCCCTCATATCCGAACTTTGTAACCAATTCCTCATATCCAAAAGACGATCTTAGTCCTGTTGTCATGTATTGTAGTATATATCAAAAAACATTCTAAAAATTTAAAAATACGCTTTTGTTTCTATTTTCTCTAAAGATGAAGAGACGTTAGATATGTGGTTCAATCTGTCCTATGTGTGTAAGATTTTCCAAGCCCTCTTTCCTCAGAAACGTCATCTGTCTCTTCCTTATGTTAACTATTAGTTTCCTTTTTGTTTCTATTTTCTCTAAAGATGAAGAGACGACAGATATGTGGTTCAATCTGTCCTATGTGTGTAAGATTTTCCAAGCCCTCTTTCCTCAGAAACGTCATCTGACTCTTCCTGATGTTAACTATTAGTTTCCTTTTTGTTTCTATTTTCTCTAAAGATGAAGAGACGACAGATATGTGGTTCAATCTGTCCTATGTGTGTAAGATTTTCCAAGCCGTCTTTCCTCAGAAACGTCATCTGTCTCTTCCTGATGTTAACTACTAGTTTCCTTTTTGTTTCTATTTTCTCTAAAGATGAAGAGACGACAGATATGTGGTTCAATCTGTCCTATGTGTGTAAGATTTTCCAAGCCCTCTTTCCTCAGAAACGTCATCTCTCTCTTCCTGATGTTAACTATTAGTTTCCTTTTTGTTTCTATTTTCTCTAAAGATGAAGAGACGACAGATATGCTGTTCAATCTGTCCTGTGTGTGTAAGATTTTCCAAGCCGTCTTTTCTCAGAAACGTCATCTGTCTCTTCCTGATGTTAACTACTAGTTTCCTTTTTGTTTCTATGTTCTCTAAAAATGAAGACGCGACAGATATATGGTTCTATTGTAGTACATTAAGATTAGCATGTAATCAGCTTAATAGCCAAAGATTGGGTAGCAGAAAAACACTAAAATTATGAAACAGAAAACAACAGTTGATATATAATGAAAATAATAGGCTTGTAATATGTGATATTCACATAGCATTCTTCTTCTTTATTAGTCATAAATCATTGCTCTCCACAACTTCCTTTCACTTGTATCTCTTAATAAACACTGTCTTTCTGTTATTTCTCCTAAGCCCTGTTCCGCCATCCATTTATGCAAGCTCATTATGTATGTTACTTGTTATTTTCACATGTCCCACTTGCATTCTATTTCTATCGTGTGTATCAGATTCTCCAAGCCCTCCTTCCTCATTACATGCCACTGTCTTATCCTCATGTTATGTATAACTTTCCTTTTTTTTTCGATTTTCACTAAAACTCCGGCGTTCCTCGTTTTTCGGTCCACTCTATCCATATGCATCCTTCTATAAGACGTCATATCCGTCAGCTCTAGTCTTCATCCTTGAGGAAATCGTCGAACATTCGCTGCCGTAAAGAAAGGCAGATGTCAAGTAACAGTTTGAGTAGATAAATCTCTTGGTTCGAAATTCCTGGTGGGTTGCTAACTATGAAGGTTGACTGATGAAGTCCGAAATGTAAACCTACCGAAACGTAGTAACAGTAACGGTTAATATGCAAATCCAAATTCAAATAAACGAGTCTATGAAATTAATAGTATTTGTTTCATCGCTTTGCGCCAGGTGAAGCCATTTTTTCTACAAACGCGGCATGCCTTCATACCAAATATTCTATTCTGTTAATCCGTATTTCTTAAATAACAAACACCTGTTTATTTACCGTCACTGTCTCTGGGTGACCGGGAATAAAGTGTTTCTTACAAAAGACCAGTGAATCCAGTTTGATTTTGTCACTATAATGAATACTATAACATAAATGTAAAAATTCACCCAAGGCGTTTATGTCGATATGAAAATGACAAAAATAATGTAATGTCACGGTTGACTAGAAGCACTGATTAAAACGTAAATGACTAAATTATGAGTGACGTAAAAAAAAAAAAAAAAAATAGGCTGCGCCGATTATTACTTACACGTAGAGGCATAGTAGATAAATTCATGGCGAGCTGGAATCATTGAGTTTAATTTATAAAAGGTCGTAATCGATTTCAAGCTTTCTTTCAATGGAGACAATTCGACATGTAACAAGTTAGGTACCCCGATACAGGGCACTCGTTGTAGAAATTATGTTAACAGTATTCCTGCCATAACTTGCTAAGAAAGGAATTTCATTCAACAGGCTTCTTTCCCAAGAAACACATTTTTTGTGAAACAGACTCCCGAGTGAATGCTCCCCTGATCGATACAATCTAAATCTATTTAAGTCACAGTTATCATACTTATTATAAAACCCAGATTGTGTTTGTGTGTGCGTGTGTGTCTGTACGTTTATATATTGGATCGGATTTCCTACATTTTTCAACCGATTTCAACAAAACTTCACAGGACTACGTAAAATTACCTTGCAGTGGTTCAGATAGCGCCACAAATAGGAAAAAATACAATTGTTTTTGCTCGAAATCAATTTGAAAACACGATTAAGAGGCATCGCGAGAATGAAAGGGGGACAACTCATATCTAGTTAAACTTATCATAAAACCCAGGTTGTGTGTGTGTGTGTGTTCGTTTATATATGGGATCGGATTTCCTACATTTTTCAACCGATTTCAGCAAAACTTCACTTTTTTTTGGCAGGTAGTGCTTCTTATTGCCTTGCACATTTTTTTCTTTATTTTTACATTCAGAATGCTTTAAAAATTCCATTTACAAGACAATTGTTTATAATAAAATTATATTCAATTGGTAGACTCATAACGATTGAAAACAATGTCTTTGTTTGAGTTTGGGTTTGACCAATTCGTAAAAAAAAAAAATAATTAAGACATGCGTGTCCGCCAACCTTAAACAATAATCTTTATCAATTTTATTTTTCAGTCTTTATGATCTATCTCTTAATGTTACATCCCCGGGCAATGCCAGGCTCTACTGCTAGTTATATCTATCTATCTATCTATCTATCTATCTATCTATCTATCTATCTATCTCAGTCTCTTCATATCTATCTATCTCTGATTCTTCCTATTTATCTCTTTCTATGCATCTAATTCATCTGTTCATATCTACCTATATATCTATAGCAATCTATCTATCTATCTATCTATCTATCTATCTATCTATCTATCTATCGTAATCTGTTCATATTTATCTATCTCGATATGTTTACATCTACTTTACTTTCTATCTGTTCATGTCTATCTACTATACATTTTTAAAAATCTT